CTTACAAGTAACACTAGGGAAGTGTCATACGGCGATTTTCCTGAAACTTGGCATACAAGTAGTACATGGAAAACTATTAGACACGTATATTGTTATATCGGCCCGAAAGCCGTTTGAAGGGTAGAAATCACCCTTATCTATTTTGGGGGTAGGTTCGACTATTTTACGAATTATTTTTACGATTGTTGCGAAATCAGGTAACTAAGGGTTTTTGGGGTCGCTGATAACGAATCTGAAGTCCGTTTTTAAGAATTCAAAATGGCGGATCCAATATGGCGGTCGCATTTTTTCAAAAGTTTTACACCCTGTCAAAAAGTGCGAAAATTGCAAAAAAGTAAGAAATGAGCATAACTTTGAGGCAAATTTTTAGCAAAAAGATCCTAATCGAGAACTATCCCTAACAGTAACGAAACATCGAAAACCATCCCTACAAGTAGTGATGCATATAAAAATCAATCAGTCCTTAGCGCTACCCAGGATGAACGACGTGGACGTGATAGGGTTCTCATCCCATTGGGGTGCTTTTTGAACGTGAGTTCCCTTGCCTCTCACGAATCGGGGTGCTTTTTGAACGTGAGTCCCCTTGCCTCTCACGAATCGGGGTGCTTTTTGATTTACACTTTAAATTTAGTGCAGTAATGTGGAGAGTTAGCGTTTGTTACGGCAAAGAAGCATGCACATTTAATTATTGCAATATCATTGCAGAGTTCACATGTGCCATTGCAGTTTTTCAAACAGAAATCTGCAGGGGCTTCGCATTTGTCGGGTTTTTCTGCAATATACAAACACTTCCACCAAGCGTATCGAAATATATTCTTAAATCTGGGGGTAAAACTGGTTATGTATTAAAGACTGTATTTTGAGGATGTTATTCCTCTTATTTCGAGCGTGGATCCTAATCCTTTGGGCGTATAAATCCCTAAAGACCTGTTTCTTAGCGGCTAGATGCACAACATAGAGGACAAATGGAATATTAAATATTTGTACAATAATAATATACAAAAATATAAAATAAAGGCTCTTGCAAAGAAAACAAACAAAGGAAACTGGGCAAATTAAGAGCCGAGCGCGGTTACATTTGCGCAAATATTCAAATTATTTATTCCGGTTAATTTTGTCCGGTAAATTTCGTACGTTTCGGTTCTGGTATCGGACCATCTTCAGCGAATGCTGTACAAATAAACTAAAGAAACAAAACATGTGGCTCAAAGATTACATGAACAAAAAAAGGCATACGACGGTTACATACGTGTTAATTAAAGTGTGCGCATATCTCGAGTCACGGTCTACAGTGTCGATGGGGAAATGAGATGTATCTCCCTCCGGTGTCAACCGTGAAGGAAGAAAGTCACGTGAAGGACCATTCTAATTTCCTCCTTATTTCTAAGACCTACTGTGACACATGTATAGAAGTGTTAAAATTAATAATCTAATAGCGTCGGAGATGAAACGGAGGCGACTCACCTCAACATCGAGAACACTGCGGGCCAGTGAGAATAAGACACAACTGTCGGTTGTTGGATAAAACTCGCGTATGACAGTGTCAAATATAAAATCAATAGTTTGCGCGTGACATTGTAACAAATAAACAAATAATAAATAATAAATATAGACACATAATAAATATAGACTATCCAAAAGAACAGAAAAATAAGCGTCTGTGACGTATCAACGCGCGCTGAATTTAGATTTTTAAAGTCTTGATAGATTTTCTAAAATCGTAGTATACGCCTGATGTAAACTCTCCGTGTCGCTCTGGAGATTTAAACTTTTAGTTTGTCATTTTATAAAAATCATCTCCGACATCAAACGTTTCCCATATATGTATTCTTCATCCAAGACTTCCACGTCATCCCATTCAAAATCGTGATTAATTAATCTGTGGTCCGTGATGACAGAATGTTGTGTGGTTCTTCTTCTGATGTGGTTCCGATGTTCCGCCACTCGAGTTTTTAGAACTCTGCTTGTCTGGCCGACATAAGATGCATCGCAGTCCTTACAGGAGATTTTGTAGACTACGTTGCTACGTAGTTCTTTGGGCAGATTGTCTTTATGCACGCGAATAAATTTGCGCAATTTATTCATGCCGGTATATGACAATTTGATCTGTAAATCACGGACCACAGATCTGAATCGTTCTGAAATAGTTGGGACGTATGGGATGTTAAAAAATGCATGATGTTCAGATATGATATACAAAATTCAAAAAATATCACAGCAGAGATCAGGACCCCGTGGTTCGTCACTCCCACAGTATTTAACGACTCCAAACCCTCTCTGTCTGTGTGTATGTGTCTATGAGTGTATCACAGCAAAGATCAGGACCACGTGGTTCGTCACTTCCACAGTATTTAATGACTCCAAACTCTCTCTGACTGTGCGTGTGTGTTTATTTTTTGAACTTTGTATACATCATGTACACTTCATAATATATTATATAAATA